TTAATTGTTATACGTTAACGGTAGTGTAACTAAATAATTAGACTCTAAGGTACACTAGTGAGTAGAATCTTAACTTATGAAGTTTTTCATCCCTAGATAAGTTAGGTAAAAATAAAATTGCTAATTGATCTTAATGATCAGATTGTTATAACCGTAATATTTCTTTACTTGGAGCATTTATTAAAAAAAAAAAAAACTTAATTGTTTCAGATTAGTGCATTTAAAGGAATTGGTGGAAATGAAGCGATTTCCCATTATATTTTATGAATCAATGTTTGAGTTTTGTGTATTTTAAAACTAGAATACATTTCTGAAATATTACTATTTAATATTTCTAAGAGATTTCAAATTTTCATTTCAGAAATATATTTTTTCGTTTCAGGCACATTTCAGAAATGTTTCTGGGATGTTTCGTAAAATATTTATACATTACAAATGTTTCAATGTAATATTTTTGAAATATTTCCGAAATGTGTGTTTGTGCTGTATGGGAATGTACCAGGAAGGTTTAAGTTTTTCATTTTATAAGAACTAAATATTTTCTCAAAAGTACGCCTGTAATGATTTTAGTAGTTCAAATGTACCAGGAAGGTTTTAACGTTTTTTTTTAATAAGAATTTAATATTTTCTCAAAAGTAGTTTATTATTTTAGTAGTTCAAATGTACCAGGAAGGTTTTAACTTTTTTTTTATAAGAAATGAATATTTTCTCAAAAGCACCCCTGTAATATCAGTAGTTCAAATGTAGCAAATTTTGAATGTATTTTTTCAAAGAATTTAAATTTTAGGCCGTAGCTCAAATATTCCAGGTTCAATTTTGATCATAAGAAATAATTTTCTTCAAAACAAACTCAATAATTTTTAATCAAACCACCTTTGTAATGATTTCAGTAGTTCAAACGCAAAATTAACTTTAAATGTATATTTAAGGAATTATATTTTTAGGCAATTGTTCAAATGTACCAGGTTTAATTGTACTCATAAGAATAATAATAATTTTTAATTGAACACACCTGTACTGATTTCAGTAGTTAAAATGTAGCATTATTTTAAATGTATAATTTTCCATAGAATTAAAATTTTTGGCAGTAGTTCTAATGCACCAGGTTCAATTTTGCTTATAAGACATTTCTACAAATAAAGCTCGATTTTTAATCGAACCACACATGTAATGACCAAATTTTAAATTTAGTTTCAATTAAATTTTAGGCCGTAGTTCAAATGTACCCGGTTCAATTTTGCTCATAATACATTTCTAAAAATGAAATTCAATCATTTTTAATCAAACCACACCTGTAGTGATTTCAGTAGTTCAAATGTATCCGGTTCAATTTAGCTTATAAGAATTTTCTAAAAAATAAACTCAATCATTTTTTATCAAACCAAACCTGTAATGATTTCAGTACTTCAAATGCAGCCTGAACTTTAAATGTATATTTTTTTGATAACTTACATTTTCAGGCAGTAGTTTCTAAAAATTAAACCTAATTTTTAATTTTAGTAGTTCAAATGTAGCATTATTTTGAATGTATAATTTTTCATTGAATTAATATTTTAGACAGTAGTTCAAATGTATCCTGTTAAATTTTCTTAGTGTTTCTGAAACTTGAACAGTTCTGCAAAACAATATTGAAGTCAAATAACACTATGCAAATTGCAATTTTTTTTGTGTAATATTCTGTTTGGGAAAAATATATTTTTCTAGCAAATTTGTATGTATTTTTATATCTTTAGATTCGATCAGAAAGGTTTTGTTTGAAAACTATTAAGTAAGTTTTGGACAAGTTTTATGTAATCCTTGGACAACTACACAGGGAGACATTTTATCTATTTTTGTTAGCCAAAATATCAAAGTTTTATGGATTAGAGTTTTTGGGGAGGCTAATTTTAAATGACATTAAAAACTAGAAATACAAAATGGCGGTTCCAATAAGGCGCTCGAAAATATTAAATATAGCTTGTTTTTCATAAAAATGAAACCTATAAGGTTTCTAAGGGGGTTTTCGAGGTCGCCGATTTTGAATATGACATTAAACATTAGAAATATAAAATGGCGGATCCAATCTGGCGCCGGAAAACATTAAAAACTCCACGTTTTGCATAAAAATTAAACCTGTAGGGTTTCTAAGTAATTTTCGAGATCGCTGATTTTGAAAATGATTATTTCGAATTTTAATAATTATTACCGACATAACTGGTCGCACAAACTTGATCTTCTGCTTCCTCTCACTGTTTTGAAAAAAATAGTATACTTGAGAATTGATTCGCTTTTTTATATCCACCCTGTAAGAAAAATAATCGCGAAAATTTCTAAAATTATTTTCTTTAATAATTATTAGTATTTTGGTCCACTACAAAAAATCCGAATGAATATCTACATAAGGGTTTTTTTTTAGTTTATTTTTTTTAAGCACTTGACATCTATCACTTTGGAAAATCTTCATTATTACTTTGTGGTTTCGTTTAAAACAAAAAACAATCAATATGAAAAATTTAATAATAAAATAAGTATGGTATTATAGGAAAACAAATATAGGGTGAATTTTATGGCGATTTTAATTAATTTACGGAAATGGGTGGTAATTTTTTTTAATTTCAGAAAAATTTCTTGAAATTATAATTCAATTTAGTGTTAAATAACATAAACAAAAATACATTAGAAATAGTTAAATTTTGAAATAATAACCCAAGATTCTTTTAAAAGATAATTTATTTAAGAATCAAAATCACGACCCATTTCGATTAAAAACTTTTAACTCACGTCGGTTTGGTTTACTTAAACAAAAAAACAAATCGAAAAAGAATTAACAATAATTATTTCATAACGGGTAAGGACACATTCTTTTTTTTTCAGTCATCTGTCGAGCCTCAAAACCTCTAGATAAAAATTCCTGGACTGCATTTTAATTCGTTTAGAAGTAGCGTGCAAAAAAATGGGAAAATCAGAACAGCATTCCTTGTTATATGTATATTAAAATTTAATTTCAAGGACCTTTTTACGCTACCGATTTCAGTCACAAATTAAATTTGATAAAAGTTTTTTTAACATCTCTTAATAGTACTAGTAGTTCAAATGTGCCAGTTTCAATATTGTTTATGTTGGAAATTTTATATCAAACCACGAAATAGTTTTTTTTTTTAAACAAGTTTGCAACGATTAAAATAATTTTTAATAGGTAGTTCAAATATACTGAGCAAAATATTTGTAAAATTTACAATTATTATTTAAATAAGAAAAAAAAAGTTCAAATGCAATGTGGACGCTTTTTGTAGAAATAAGCGTTTCTATTTAGATGTTTTATCAATTGAATAAAACTACGACCCGATAATTTTAAATTTTAGGCACACACAAAACTAAAATAAAGTTTTATTCGATTACTCATAATAAATCATTTTTGATTTATTGCTGTATGGAACTGGGTCATAGGGTAGTTCAAATGCACCACGATCGATGAAAACATTTGACATTAGTCTTGTTTTTCGTAAAAAATGGGTTTGTTCAGGTTTCTTTAAAACTTGATGCAAACCATCCGATAAACAGTGGCACAGCTGAATTAAATTATTCGTCGCGTAGAACTATTAAACTGTCCACTGGTCAACTAGTCGTCTGATAATTCTCAATGTATTTTTGAAGAACCCGAACAGACCTAATAACACAAGTGTACCTCAAATGTATCTAGATCTTGATTGCATATTTGATAAATATACAAATTTTGCTTCCTAAAAACCTTTCACATTATTTTTGCATAAAAGTAATAACTTCGTAGAGTATTTCATATATTTTTTTATTGGTTTTAGTAGTTTAATTTTATATTTATTTATTGCATAAAAATAATTTTGCACCGTAGTGAAGATTCCTTATTTTTTTGATAAAATAGAATTATGCCTAGTATTGGTTTTAGTGGTTCAAATCAACCACAACCGATTAATACATAAATATAAATTTCGCCTAGTTCCATTATTATCTTAGTTCTTTTGTTAGATTAACTACAATTTAATCTAGTTTTGGCTCTAAGTAGTTCAAATGTACCACGACGGCAATATTTTTCCACTAGTCCAAATTTACAAAACCACGAGTCTTTTTGATTTATTGAAAATTTCTCATAGTGAATTTAATAGTTTAAATGTACCCCATTGCATACTCATTGCATAAAATAATACTTTTGCATCGTAACTGAGATTAACAAAGATCACAGTTACATTTTTTGATAAAATTGAATTTCGACAAGTATTGGATTTAATAGTTTAAATGTACAACTTTTTATTGCTTAAAAATAATAATCGTTCAAATTTAGAAAGATTCCATTCTAGTAGTTCAAATGTACCATAAAGATTCATTGCATAAAAATATTTTTTTCCGGTAGCCCAGGTTAACAAAACTACGAATATATTTTAAAAATTAACTAAATTTCTCATATTGGTTTTAGTAGTTTAAACGTACTCCAACCATTCATTGCATAAAAATAAATATTTTGCACCTTATTTGAGATATACATTTTTTCATACTTTTGGTTCTAGTAATTCAAATGTACAATAAAAGTTCACTGCATAAAAATGTTTTTCCCATGTAGTCCAGATTAACAAAACCACAATTTTTTATTTTCAATTAATTAAAATTTCGCTTAGTATTGGTTTAATAATCAGCTTTTACATTTTTTGAAAAAAATACAATTTCGACCAGTATTGGATTTAATAGTTTAAATGTACCACAATTTTTCATTAGTTGAAAAATTATAATAGTTTAAATTTACAAGATCGTGGATTCTTTTTTCAATTAAATACAATTTATTCTACTAGTTCAAATGTATCAATTCATAACGATTCAAATATTATTCTCTTGTAGTGCACATTACAAAACTACGATCATTTTTTCAGTCAGTTAAAATTGTGCTGAGTATTGGTTTTAGTAGTTCAAACGAACCCCAACCATTAATTGCATAAAAATAATTTTGCGCTGTAGTTAAAATATCGCGATTCCCTTTTAGATTAAACACAACTTCCCCTATTATTTGCTTTAGTAGTTCAAATGTACCACAACCTATAATTTCCATAAAAATAGTACTGTCAAATACTTAGAAACATATTTTAAAAATAAATTTTAGAATTTAAAAAATAGTACGTACTTACACCGCTTCTTTTAAAACATTTTCATATTAAAATTGTTGTATCCATTAATCCCGTATATAGCAAACAGAAACGGTATGTAAAAAGGCCTTAAAAACAAAAAAAGTCATAAATCTTCCGAGGTACCCAATATGAGAGAGCGACTTATCCCCGTCGCCGACAAACTCTCAGCAAAAAGAAAATAACCAAAAAGAATGTCCACAACTAAATAAACTCAAAAGAAAAAACACTAAATACTAATGGACGTCGTTGTCGCTGGAAAGGTCCGATTCGGGTTCTTCTTCCGAAAATTCCTGAGGACTGGGCGACAACGGATCGAAACTGGACGACTGGCGCGAATTGTCTTCGTCGAGATGTGTTTCTACAAATTCTTCGGCGTTGATCATCGAAATGGAGCTGGTGCCCGCTCTGGCTTCTTCCAGGATGTTGTCCAGGGAATGCGGACGACCGTTGGCTATTTCTTAAATAAAAAATTACAAATAAACGTTTAGTTTCACAAATTTATAACGACTTTTCTTTGACTATATTCAGGTTTTACGATTTTAGATAAAATTTTCTTGTACCATGAAAAAGAGCAATAGTTATAGCCCAAGAAATTTAGTCAGATTTGGAAAATTATGATTCAATTTTATTCTTTTTAAATATTTAATTTGCAATATCGTGATTACAATTTTGCAGGACTATATCTTTAGTTACATATATACAGTATATCTGAAAAGGTTAGCAACAAATGGGAAATTTATTATTAATTTAACAAAAAAAAAAAAAAATATTCTCCATAAAAGCCATAAAAAGTTTTGCATGATATAAAAATTAAATTCGTAAAATATATAATGGTAATACACGAAAAATCAACAATATTGATTTATGTTGAAGAATAAAGTGCTTTTATATTTAATTAAAGACCAAAATGTCATTTCGTCGTTGATACTGCAAAATATCGTATGTCAAATAGCTACTTTTCAGGAGAGCAAAAAACAATATATTTTTTTCAGATACGTTCTCTTAAATAAATCACGTTGAACGCTTGCTATTGGTTCGCGACATACGAGATTTTGAAGGATTATGGGCGGGCCAATTTAAATTTGCATTAATTTAAATGTGCATTTTTGACATACGACTAATTGAAGTATCAACGACGATTTGTAAATGTTGACAGGAATTAAAAATTATGTCCAAGTTTAGATTAATGGCCCTGTAATTATAAATTTTAACTAAAAAAAAAGCTTGTATACCACTAAATATTTTACAAATTTCATTCTTATTTATTGATTTCTATGTGATGCTGAACTTTTTATGAAGGATCTTTTTTTTTATAAAATGAATAATGAATACATTTCTCATTAGTTGCCAATTTTTTATTGTACTAAATTTGATATACGGCTGGAAAACGAAGACAGTAATTTTATTTATGAAGATAATCTAATTGCAAATATGGCGTGGATGATAATATATAAAATTGATTGGGACTGTTACTGAAGCCTTTTGTGCAAAAAGGTATTAACTTAGTTTTTTAGTATTTTTATTGCAAAAAGGTGTTAACTCGGTTCTTAACCCGTTGGTAAATCCCCCAGGCGCTAGGTGAATCAGTACTGACTAAATGACAGCCTCCTAAAATGAAATATTTTCTTATAAATCAATCACTCTGCATATTTCGAGGGTTCCTAGCTAATAAACCAATAATAAAAAAAAATTTAAAACTGTCTAAATTTCCTGGGCTAAACAGTTCATATTTTCTGATAGTACAAGAAAATTTTATCTAAAATCGTAAAACCTGAATATATTCTAAGAAAAGTTGTTACAATATAAATAATATAGATCATCTAGATATGGATTTCTAAATTTAAGCTAAATTTGTCCAGCAAATGTAGTTATAGTTATAGAAAATGTAATTATATTCAAATTCATTAGTTCAAGAAAATTATTATACAATATTAATAAATTAGCTTTGTTAAAATGTTAAAACTATAGTCTAGGAAAATTTTGTTGATCAGGATGTCGAATTAAATATTTTTTAAATGTTTAAAAATGCGTAGCGAGTACCAAAAGTTTCTCTAAAAAATAACAACTTGTCTAAAATTCCTAAGAGAAACAAATGAACACTGTTGTTTTTTATAAATCTCCTGGTTTATAAAGTTAAATTTCCCTATACTATAAAATAAAATATAAATAGTCCAAAACAACAGTTGAAAATAATTATAGATCGTATATATTTGGTTTTCTACATTTAAGTAAAGTTTTCCTGCGCTATATTACAACAAAACTGGTTATATTCCAGGGAAATAGTATTGTTCAAATTTATTAGTCCATAAAAATGATACAATATATAACGATGAAATTAACTTTTTTTCAAATTTATATAAAATTATAGTCTACGATTTTCAATTATATATTCTTTTTTAAATGCGTGGCGATTAGCAAAAAATTTTCAAAACCCGCAGAGAAGTGAAGGAAATCGACTTTAATTTAAAGTAAATATAAATCTAAAAACAAAAAATATAGTAAAACAAATTCAATAATGATCAGAGACTTAAAAAAAACAAACTAGCATATAGGTTTTCCATATTGAGTCGAATTTTCCGGAATCATTACATAATACTACATCATAAGTAGTCGAAAACGACAATTGATAATAATAAATTGTATATTGTATATATATTTGGTTTTCCACATTTAATTGAAATTTTCCTGCACTATAATACAACAAAACTGTTGCTTGGTGTTTAAAAATGCCATACGTTTACCGAAAATGTTTCTAAAACCATAGGAAAAAGAAAGAAATCAACATGAACTTAAAAGTAAATATAAGTTTAAAAACAAGAAGAAAATTCAAAACAATTGATACACGTTATATTTTCTTCAAATTTTTAATTGTCGTCTGACTTAAAGGTTTTCCAATTTTAAATCAATTTTCCTGTGCATTTATGTAATAATACTTCAAAACAACAATTGAAAATAATTATAGATCATGTAGATTTAGTTTTCCATATTAACCGCAATTTTCCTGCACAATACAGCAGATTTAGTTTTAGAAAATAATAGAACATAAAAAGATGCAAATAACTTTTTTCCAAAAGTTTTTGAAATACTGCAGATAAGTGAAAAAAATCTATTTGAATTTAAAAGTAAATATTTGTGTAAAAAAAAAATAGTAAAACGAATTCAAAACTAGCCACAAATTCTTAAGAGAAACAATTGAAAAACGTTTTCAAAATTTTAATTAGGTCTCCTGGCATAGAGGTTTTCCATTCAAGCCTAATTTTTTCTGTACTATTATAAAAAGCCATACCATAAATAGTTGAAAGTAATTATAGATCGCATGAATTAATTTTCCACATTAAGTGTAATTTTCTTGCGCTATAATACAGCAAATCTAGTTAAGCTCAGGGAAATATTATTTATGTTAAAATTTATTAGTTCAAGAAAATGATACGACATAAAGGAATAAATTTCGTTCAAATGTATATAAAACTAAAGACCAGGAAAATTTTGGTTAATCATTTCGAAATCCACAGAAAAGTGAATGAAATCGACTCGAACTTAGAAAGTAAATGCAATCGTAAAAACAACACAAAACTATAGTAAACGAATTCTAAACTGGTCTCAAATTCTTAAGAGAAACAATTATTGAAAAAAGTTGTTTTCAAAATTTTAATTAGATCTCCTGGCATATAGGCTTTCCATGTGTAAGTCTCATTTTTCTGTACTATTATATAAAATCACACTATAAATTAAAATGATTTTTAAATTTTCAATTCAGTCTCCTGGCTTACATGTTTTTCATAAGTAAGACGAATTTCCTTGTACTATTATTGAATAATTCATACTAAATGGTCCAAAACAATTGTAGATCAACTGCAGTGGGGTTTCCATATTAAGGAGTAATTTTCTAGCACTATAATACAGTAAATCTAGATCTAGTCCAGGGAAATGTCATTTATATTCAAATTTATTAATCCAAGAAAATGATAATAAACTTCGTTCCAATGTATATAAAATTATGGCCCAGACAAATTTTGGTTAATCACGATTTTGAATTAAATATATTTTTTATATGTTTAAAAATGCATAGTGAATACCAACAGTTTTTCCAAAACCACAGAAAAGTCGAAGATATCGATTTAAACCTCAAATTTAAAAACGTATTTAAATTTTTAATTAAGTTTTCTGGCTTATAGGTTTTCTATATATACAGGGTGTTTCCGAACTTGGTGTCGAAATTTGTAAGGGTGGTAGTTCGCATAATTTGAGACCGATTCGCAGATTTCATTTTTCCAAAATATTTAAAATAAAAATAATTAAAAATTATAAACAGGTACGGTCCTGCACAGCGATAGTATCGCCTCGACTCGCGCGCGCTTAGGATCGACAAAATTGCAACTCGCATGTGTTTTTGAGGACGGTAGGACCTGCTCTTTGATTTTTTTTATAATCGCTCTATTTTGTTTATTATAATTTTTTTAGAAAAATGAAATCTGCCAATCGCTCTTAAATTATGCGAACTACCACCTCTACAAATTTGGACGCCAAGTTCGGAAACACCCTGTATATAAGTCTACTTTTCCTGTACCATTATATAACACCATTTATAGTCAAAAATAACAATTTAAAATAATTATAGGTCATCTAAATTTGGTTTTCCATATTTAAGCGACATTTTCCTGCACCATAATACAGCAACTCTAGTTACGGCACAGTTTATTAGGACAAGAAAATGATACAACATATTATAATGATAAAATTAACTTCGTTCAAATTCATATGAAACTATAGTCTAGGAAATCCCGATTTCGAATCAAACATTTTTTTTAAATAAATCGACTTGAACTTAAAAGTAAATATAAGTGTAAAAACAAATTGTTGCTTTCCAATTTCAATTCTCCTATCTTATAATTTTTCTTCGAGTTTTTCTGACCTATTTATACAATAATACAACCTAAGTAGCCAAAAAAAAAACAATTATAAACGTAATTTTTCTTCACTATAATACAGCAAAATTAGTTATAGCCCAGGGAAATATTCAAAATTTTTAGTGTAAGAAATATGTTATTTTTAATTACATAATTTTGAAATTACTTACTTTCTAAATATGGCCACAAAGACTCCGGTATAAGATTTTTGATCTTTTCTAAGTTTTCAGGGGTGCAAGTTCCGGTATCCAAACCTAAAAAAAAACAAATTAGATACTAACCGTCAATACACCAAAGCCGACGTGCTCACCTGACAGCATCCCAATTGACTTTAAGATTTCCACGTCGTCGTTTATCTCAAATTTATCATTAAATTGAAACAAATATTCCATCCTGAAAGAGAAAACGAATTAATTACATCACAGAATAAAAGTCTTTGAAAGATAACTCACTTATCATTAGAAATACTACAATTAATAACAGTCTTCTTATTAGTATTGACGACAATAAAAGGCAGCTGAATGTAAGAATTGGGCGAGGGCATCCCGTACAATCTTTCGTTTTCCCTATTCCGCTGCGCCAAATTCTTGAAAGCGATCTGATTGAGAATCAACTCGTCTAGTTGCCTCTCCTTTTCTATTATTGTCCTTAACTTGTTCTGCATCTCTTTCTCAAGCTGATGGCACTCTTGAAGCGAATTCGTTGGAAGACCTATCCACCTAGAATAGAAACCGAAACAAAGGTCAGAGAAAGGTAAGGTTTGTAATGTTTAAAATTCATTTAATTTTCCAAAATTCGAAAATTTGTTAAATCATCCTTATTATAATTTTGCTATAAACGGCCGCTGTGGTAGGATCCTCTTCTCCGACAAACTATGCGTGGGGCAAGTGATACTTTTCTTTTTGTTTTTTGATTGCCAGACCCATGTAGAATCCGATTAAATAAGAAGAACACAGCTAAGTCATAACAACTATTATATATATATATATATCGAATTTCAAATATATATCATTTATAACTATCAATAAATAAAAAATATCGGACCCTACCTAATTAGATGCCTTTTTATGACATATTGAAGTCATGATCATGATTGGTCGCTGTACTGACCAAAACAATCCACGATTCAGGCTAAGAGATACGCCCTCTGTAATTCCGGTACGTCCGCGGATTTTTAGCCTTTGAAGAAGTGAAAAGATCTTTTTTTTTTAAGTAGCGAAATTTCTGTCTACCAATATGTAACCACTCTAGATTTATTTAAGGATTTTTTATAAAACCGATTTAATAATATAGTTTTTTTTTTGACGTAGATATAGTCCCGTACGTGGGACCCGAAAATTACATCTGAAGTCCCGCACGGGCGTAGTTTAATCACGTCACGCGTTTGCGCGGTCTTCACTATTCTGTGTTCAGCAGTGATAGTAGTAGTATTGTTGTTTTTGTTTTTTTGTATCAATGCGTGTTGTATTACTCTGTTACTTACACATTTGTTTTGTTGATCAATATTATCAATTAATTGATAATGGGATCTACATATGATTTAAAAGAAAATGATGCCTTCAGTAGCTATGAAGAGTTAAACAAAGCGATACTAAATGAAAAACACAATAGGGTACAATTTTGGAAACGAGATTGCAAAACTTTGGACAATGCTAAAAATCAATGCCCAAAGTTATACAGCAAAGCTAAAGATGCATTAAAATATTATATTATAAAATACTGATGCATTCATGGAGGACAATGATTTCGACCAAAAAAACCATTGTCTGCTACTAAACGACGTCTACGTGACAAGTGAGTTATTTCTCATAGATAAGTAGAGATTAGGTATAAAATAAAATCTATATTTCCTTTACAGCCCTTTTAAGCAAGGTTGTCTAACACAAATAAACATTTCTCTATCTGAAGATGGACAATCATTAGTTATCAAAAGCATGATCACTGATCACAACCATGATATTCCAACAATGTGAATAGAAAATGACATTCCAGAAGTAAATTTTTCAAGTATTTTATTTTTTCTATAGGGAAGTATTTAAACAGCTACCTAAACAAAGGAAGCTCTCTGATGAATATAAAAAAAACAGCTTTGACGATGATGAAATTAAAGGTTAATAAAAAACTCTTAGAAGCAGAGTTACTGGAAAAGACAGGAAATTCAATATTGCAATAAGTCATATCCCCTCTGAAAGAAAAGCATAGCTGCACAGTTGATGTACATGTTGAAGAAGACACATTCAAAAGCATATTTTTCCAAGATCCTAGTATGAAAAAGTCATTTTTCTTATTTCCTGAAATTGTTTTTATGGATGGAACATACAGTTGTTAAATATTCGCTGTCCAGTATATATAATGGCAGTTGAAAATTCCTCTGGGACAATAGATACTGTAGGAATCGGCATTCTTACAAAAGAGGATAGTGAATCTATTGGATGGTTTCTTAAAAAGTAAGTTTATGATTTTTAACCTAAAAGTGTTTAGTTATTTTACCACTTATATTTTATATAGATTCAAAGAAAGGAATCCACAATGGAATAAAATTAAGGTTGTTATGACAGATAAAAGTACTACCGAAAGAGATGTTATTAGTACAGAACTTCCTGGTACCAAAAGCTAATATGCTTGTTCCATGCATTAAAATTTTTTCAAAGAGAGCTAACACCAGCAAAGCTAAACAACAACTAAGCAATCAAAATGCTCCTTGCAATATTTAAATAAGCTCGCTCATTCGAAATCAGAAGCATATTATAACGCTACGTTAAACGAAATGAAGGAAAATATACCACAAGCAGTGGTAACATATTTTTAAAAAAACTGGGAACAAATTAAACATAAATGGGCAAAATGTTTTACAAAATATACCACAAAATGTTTCAACTTCACCAATATTAGGATGGAAAGCTTAAATTCCAAATAGTCCAGTAACTGAAGGGTCAAACCTGTATAAAATTCGCTGATGAGTTCCCACATAGCGCAATTTGTAGGTCATCGTAGGTGTTTTTTAATGAGAAAATCCTTAACGCGTTCTTGGTACCGGAAGGAGCTGAAAATTGACCCCTAAACTCTGAAAAACGGGTTTCCCGCTAATATCTGGCTAAATATGCCAATTAGAGAATTTTTGTTCAGACAAAAAATGAAGATCAGCTCATTATCTACAAAAATGGCTCTTATCATTTTCTTCGAAAATTCAATAGTTTTCGAGATAATGGCACTCAAAAGTCCCCTAATTTCAGCTGCTGTTTACCTGCAGGAATTCTGCTTACTATGAATTAACGTGTAAGCGGGCGGACGAATTGTTCCATATCTCGGAAAAAAATTGATATTTTCCGATGATTCAAATGGGAAAACCCGTAGCTACAGTTCTATGTAACTTGAAGTCAGTTCGTATTTGCCAAAATATTTAAAAAAGCGGTCAAAGTTTTTTTCAACAATATTTAAAGACTGCTTCATTAATTTATTCATATTTTCTTTAAAAATAGTCATTTATTCTAACTTTGCCTTTATAATGGGACCTTGGGGGGTCTTGATTGATCTCAGAAATTTTTTTGTAATACTGTTCTTGTGTTTTACTACAAAATTGATTTGTTTATTTACATGTTTTAGCCGATTTCGGAGTTCCATAGAATCTTCGGAACAAGCGCGAATTATAATCATATGATCCGTTATATTGATTTCCAATGCACATCATTTTAAAGCTTATATGGTCTACTTTTCGAATATATTTTTTTATTTTTAATAGAGTCTAATAATTTTCAAGAAATGAGGAAAATTGATAACACGAGTGGAACCGGCCTTTTTTTGTTTAACCATTTCTTGTTTCCCGCTCTTTATTTTTTGAGGATTAATAACTTGATCAAAGTTAAGCTTGTATTCTGACCTTTCCATTGATATAAGTCAATACCCATATCTGTTCTTGGTTCTAAAAAGGTTGTTACAATTATATACTTCATTTTTACGATGGTATGATATTGCGCAGATTTGTACCACGTAACGGTGACGGTTTTTAATCACTTTTAATAGACGACGATTATCTCAGAAAGTTTGTGGTATCCGACTCGTTATATCAAAATCTTTGCAAATTTGTGAACTTTAGCACAAAAAACCATCTAGTGTATGCTTGTTTTAAGTTTTCAACCCTTCGTCCGAAGTGTTTTGATTAAAAAGGCGTGTAATAAGATAAAACATATTGTTGGCTTCGTATCTGTCCTCAGTCCAAAACTTCATCCAACTGGGGTCATCAGAAAGCACTTATCATATAGGAAGCATAGTGATGTGTAAAATATAAAAAAAATTTACACACGTATGATACTTCCAAAAACAAAACAAAATCAAAGTGTTATTTAAAGATATTTGATTATATCATAAGTTATAAAAGTAATTTTAAAAAGACTACAAAATCGAGCAGATACCATTTCAAATTGAGATATTGACCAAATTTATATGGGACCACTCCTAAGGTATCCTCCGTCTAACAAAAAAGAATCATAGAAATTGGACAACGTGGTAAAGAATTATCGCCGAATACAAATAAAAAAAATATTCCAAAGAAATGGGAAGATCCTTTTTTTAAATAAAAATACATTTAATACATACGGTGAATTGTGATTAATATGTTTCTGAAGTATTTTCAACAAAAACATGCCATTAACTTCCATCGTTGTAAATTGTAGGAGCAGAACTGATAGGAATAGAGTATCTTCAAGTATCTTTTTTGTTGTTGTTCAAACAATAACATTTCTTCATGCAAACGATTTATCAGCAAAAAGGAGATAACGATTGATGAATGAGTTAACAGAGAGCAAAAAAAAATAAAACTGATGACAAAAATATTGTTGTCTTAATTATAAATAATTGTATTTTGCAAGTTCATGTACCTAGACTACATGAACAAATGAAAATTTATTATTTAAGAACCTATACCAATTAGTATGTTAATTAATTATATAATTATAAATATTTGTGATTTATATGTTTTGTATTAATAAATCTTTATATATTACTTTTTAACTTACCGAATCTCTTTTTTTTCTTTCGAAATGATATTCATGGCCATCAACACGTTCAGAGCATCGTACACCCTTCTCCTGATATTTTTTTGATCGTACTGGTCCGGTAAAGCGTTATTGGTCGAATTCGTGAATTCTGTCACTAATTCGTCGGCAACTTCATTGTACGTGGTCGTTCCTTTCTGTTTCACCTTTTCGCACACTTTCATAGAGAAATGTCGAAGGCCTTTTCCTACTTTTTCGGATTTCCTACCGCGTTTTCTGAAAGAGAAAACGATTAAATACAGAGAATATTGTTTAAAACGAGATATTTTGAATGCACAATAAGAACATTGGAAAATGAACTGTTTTGTTTTGGATGCTCAGTAAGAACATTAAAGAAAGAATTGGAATGGTGTGCTTCTTAACACTTTGGTTGCCACTAATGTATTAGCTACTCAATTTATACTCGTTATACAGGGTGTTTCAGAATAAAGTAATAAAGTACCGTAAACTGGGGGGAGTTGTAGATCTTAACTAGTTAAGAAAAGCTAAATAAAATTTTTCTGTAAACGTTTCACTTTTTATTATACAGAGTGATAAAGTGAATTTCATAAATAAATTATTTTCTAAATATCTTCCCTTGCGGTAAAGGTTTTAACTTAAAAATATGTACTCTTTAATTAATTACTATTATTAATTAATACACTTTATTTCGAAAAATTACTGTAACTAATTGGTGTACAATTAAGGGTTAAGAAAACAATTTTAATCAGAACTTTTTGAACACCCTATATTTCATAAAAGTTCAAATTAATATTTATTTATCAGGCAATTTGTCAAAAAAGGGACTGTTGGTTTATCTCTGTATAACATTCCGCTTAAGAGATTTTTCACTTTTAGTCCTACTCAAACATGAAATATATGTACATGTGCAAAATTTCAACTTTTTATTATGGGCCGATTTCATAATCAATATTAGAAGGTCAATTAACTAATGGTCCCATTAGTCAATGAACCTTTTAATATTCATTATGAAATCGGCCCTGGATAAAATTGTATATAGATTTCATGTTTGAGTAGGAATAAAACTGAGAAATCTCGAAAATGGAATGTTCTACAGAGATCAACCAAGAGTCCTTTTTTGTGACTAATTTCGCAAAGAATATCTGTATCTGTAACGTGTGGACGATGGGTTACCCCCCCCCCCCCCCAACGGTACTTATGCCTCACTGGGACCATTGTACATCCTCCTAAGATGATAGGCACCTCCTAGCTCATAAGCCAGCCTACAGATTCAATGTAGTTGACAACGTCGCCAAGAGGTGCTTCTCTTATATCGGCCTAAATAATTATTAATCTCAAATTTTATGAAATATGGCGTGTTTAAAAGTTTAGATTAAAACTGTTAAGTAATCATTTTAAGTTCAACATTCAAAGACAGGTATTAGACACTTCACCAACAAACTTCATACATTCTAGAAGTTATTTCGGTGACGAAGATTAAAAGAAAAAGAAATAGATTAAAAATGAAAAGTAAATATAAGTGTAAAAAATACTACTAAAACGAATTCAAAACTATTCTCAAATTCTTAAGAGATAAAATTGAAAAATGTAATTTAAAATTTTTAATTAAGTCTGCAGGCTTACAGGTTTTCAATTTTAAGTCAAATTTTCGTGTAATAAATAGTCCAAAACAATTGAAAATAATTTTAGATCGTTTAGATTTGGTTCTCCATATTTAAGCGAAATTTTCCTGCTCTATAATACAAGAAATTTAGTTATGGCCCAGGAAAATATATTTATGTTCTTTATTAGTCAAATGTACATAAAACTATATCCCAGGAATTTTAAGTTAGCCACGATTATGAATTGAATACATTTTGTAATGTTGACTGCCATAGGTAATTTACAAAAAATCCAGTGGTATCAAGTACAAATTATACAGTCAAATCGCATTTTAAAAGAATCCTACTATTACATATTTTTAAAAAAGTTCTCCCTATTATTGGTTTTGCAAAAAAGAATGAGCGTTCGTATACAGGGTATTTCATAAGTAATGGTAAATATTTTACCCATAGTTCCAGGATCTCCAAATATATTTATTTCCTAAATAACACTATTAAATGTTATTTACTTCTGCGATATTATAATTAAATTTTATTTTTTGTTTGTTTATGCAATATTTTCATTATTATTTAACGTTTCGACTTAAAATTTGGCATGGTTATAAAGGACGTCTCAGAAATAGTTTTATTTATTAATCCGTCCGTTAGCGTTTCCACGAAAGGAGGCAGTTGGCAAAAAGTCGTCGACAGTGTTAAGTTTTAGTTGCAATGGAGCGATTTACTGGGCTACAATGTGCCTTTTGTATTCGAGTGTTTTAGAAAAACAATGATTATATTCTTGTGCGTCGATTGTACAGAAATCGTTATACCATAGCAAGAATGAAAGATATCCCAAGTGCAAATTTAATTTCCAGCACTCTCAAACTTTCTTAACCAATAGAAATTTAAATTTTCACTTGGGACATCTTTTATTCACGCTATGTTACGATTTCTGTACGCAGAAGAACATAAGAATTATGTCTTTATAAAACGAATGATTACACCATTTGACCACTGCCTTTTTTCTTGGGAATGTGCCTATTACTCCAGCGGACGGATTAATAAAAGAAAATATTTTGAGATTAAATAAACAGGGACTCTACTGGATAAAGAAAACTATTAATTTTTTATTCTTGGAATTTCTAAATTTTATGGTATACCCTGTAAATTTGAACATAGTAGGCCTTGAAATTATGCTACTAAAACAAGTATACGTTTTATGTTCAAATTTACAGGGTGTAACACTTCATCCAGCAGAGTGTAGTGACCTTCTCTATGTTTAATTTCAAAATAGATGACGTGCTTAAAATATACTAACCCAAAATTATAAATCCCAATATTCAAATAAATACGTTAAATAATAACGAAAATATTGCAAAAAAAACGAAAAATAAATTTTAACTTCAATACCCTGTAGCTCAGATGTAGATAACTTTTGACGTGTTATTTAGCAAAATATTATTATTTCAAAGCACCTGAATCTATGGTAACCATTCCTCATGAAACACCCTGTATGTCCGCTCGACTGTTTTTTTACGTATTCGTTAACTTGTTAAAAACAATTTCAAAAAGTTTTTTCGAAAGCCGCAGGAAAGTGAAAGACATGGACTTGAACTTGAAAGCGTAAAAATAAAAAAAAAATGTAAACAGAATTCAAAATTTGTTTCAAGATAAACGAAAGAAAAACGTTCTTTTCAGATTTTTAATTAAGTCTCCTAGCTTTTAGGTTTTTATATTTAAGTTTAATTTTCTTGTACTATTATATAATAAACCATAAATATTTCAAAACAATTGAAAATAATAATTAACGATCGTCTAGATTTGGTTTTCCTTATTTGAGCGAAATCTTCCTGCACTTATAATACAGCAAATCTAGCTCAATACATATGACAAATTCCAAAATCACTTGAAACTTTAGTTGGCCATGCACTTCTCATTTAAATCTGTTGGGCACCCCAAAATATGATGATTTAACGCAATTTACCTCTATACCAAGTTGTATCCCCAAGGAGTTACCGAAGCCTTAAGTGGGGCCAAGTTTAAAGTTTTGTTAATATGTAGATATTATTACTATTATTATTTTTAATTGTGTTCTCATTTAAATTGATTTTATTAAAGTAATTTGCTATTCTCGTTTTTTCTCGAAGAGAAGAATTTCTTTAGGTGTTATTTTCAATTAATTTTCTTGTTTCAAGCCTACCTAAATTAATAATATATTTTTTGAATGTATTTTTTATCATATTTGCAGAGTTTATTTTGTCTAGATATATTTTATAAACTTCAGGCAGATCATTATAAATTTTCCGTGACAGATGAGTATGACATCGTAAGCTAATAATTTTTTGTACTGGCTTAATTTTTATATTATTATTTTCTTTGTACCGTGTGGGATAGTCATAATTAACTTTAAAAAAAAAAAATTATTTTTAAAAATAAATTGAATAATTTGATTAGAAACATTTGCCTAATATCTAGTATTCCGGTTTCTAAAAATAATTTATTAAGATGGGTAAGTAACTTTCTTGTTATAAATCATTTTTAAAATTCTTTTTTGTAGTACATCAAGTTGTTTAAGATGGCAATATGCTGTACCTCCCCAACTCATTATGGCATACCTTAACCTTGATTCAACTAGAGCGTAATATAAAATTTTTAAGTATTGTAAATATAAAATATTTTTTAAGAGGAAAATTTACATTACAAACTGAAAGACCTGCGGGGCAACGGTAGTTTAGTAGGTATAAAAATTACAACTTTAGGGTGGAGCCTAAATACTACAAAATTACTTCCGAGACTAAACAAAATCCGCATTCATTCATAATTTTAACAATTGCCTGTAGATACGAGGGATACGTATTTCAAGCTCTAACGCGCGAAATTAAGAAAAAAGAACCGAAAACACCTAACACGGCTGCCGAGTGAGTCAGAGTTACCTAAATTAGGGGAACCAGAATCGTATTTGTTTTTCTCGGTGCATTGCGAGATATTGTTATAACGCAGTTCGATTTTTAGAGGGTTTTACATTATTTTAATATTTTAATTTAGTGAATAGGTTTAGTTAGATTAAATTACATTTGAGAGTATAGAGTTGTGAAATATAAATACAAATAACGAAAAAATAGACGATTGGTTCGAATAAGGTAATATCAATTAATACAGGGTATTTATTAATTGAGTGCCGATACTTAGAGGTGTGAATCCTTTGGGTGTTAAAGTTTTAAGAAAAAAAAAACTATTTTATCATAAGTTTCTTATCACTCTAGATATTTTTATGAAATTTTGTCCAAAAAAAGTGTTTCCACTCATGGTGGGTTCCTACCAAATTTCAACAAAATATCAAAAGCAGTTTCAATATACTGGTTTTTATTTTCTTACCCGAAAAGGGTGCTTTGTACGAAAGTACGTCATGAACCAAATTTGCTCCAAAATAAATAAGGATTTTAAAGATAATTTGGTATTTAGAAAAAGCAGTGGCGCACCATATTTTTGTTCAAAAATATTCAGTTCAAACCCGGTACGGACGTCACTGGTAAAAATTTAAAAGTCTTTTACGACAAAAGGTGAGATTGAAAGTGAAAGTTTAGTCTGTTATATATATATACTATATTTATATATCTAACTTTTATTATTACACTGAATGTGATATGGCTTTTTTGTTTGCCTTCTTTGGATCAA